GTATTTCTAATACAATGGAAAATCCACCATGTTGAATACCATCAATTTATGGTATCTTTCCAACATCTCATAGTATTAAAAATTACAATATAGATAATTTTACATTTCATTATGCAATTAAAATATTTAATCAATTAATATACTAGATCAATACTAGCTATCTTCTCATAACGGGAAGTTTCTCTCTCACGCAATGTCATGTAGGTCAAACTCATATATAATCATGTATTACCTCGAAAGCAAATAACAAAAATATATTAGTCATCAAATCAAGTATTGATCACAAAAATATGAGGGAACTTTAAACCAATATCTCAAAACATATAGCAAATATGTTCAACAACACATAAAGTAATGTACCCAAAACTCATCATATATAATTATATTGGTGTTAAAGGGAGTTTCATCTCATTTATGAAAATTAATAACAATAATAAGGTGTATTAATAATTAAATATTCTCATCATGAACATGACATGTATATTTGAGGATGACTAAATACTTTTTTCCATTCCAAACGAGATTAATAAATGGTCATTGGGGAGTGAGGAAGACGATATTAGTATACAATGAATGTGGTTTGTGTTGTATAAAATTGCGGACGCAACTATGAGTAACCTAAAACACTGAACAAACGTTAGTAAAATCCCCTAAGGCGCGTGTGATGGCACTGACCTTAAGGACTTATCCACGGGATACGCGCAAGCCCCCCAGGATACAACAGAATCGTCTCAATAAATTGAGGAGCAGAACTGGCAATTAGAAAATTTTAGAAAATTTGAGAACTCATAAAAAAGGAAGAGAGAAATGAGTTTTGGGGTGAGAAAATAGTGTGCCGGAGGCCTCTATTTATATAAAGTCTCAAAAACCCTAAAAAAACACGTAATTAATTAGGCAATTAAAAAAAATAAATCTGGTAATTAAAAGAAAATTAATCCAAATTTGTAAGGTAAGATATTAATGACATAATCAAATTTGAATTTGAAATGTAAAAAATTGTCATTTTCAAATAAGGTTTCCTTAGTAATTTAATGTAATCAAAATAAAAATATTTCCAAATCTCATTTTCTTTTAGAATATCATCTATGTACAACAGTTTGGTGGACCTTTTCTTCATCTGAAAGAAGAGAGGGACAAAATTACAGTCTTGTTATCAGAAGGAAACAAGGATGCAATTGCTTGGTGAGGAACACGAGATGGAGATATTTGAAGGTTGCGTGGACAGTTTCAACAACACAATGCTCTTTCCAACTCCAACTAATTCATACCACTTGCTTGCCTTGACTAAGCACTTATATATACCTCAGATTAAACAAGGATGACAAAATTTAGATTCATGATCATCAAGGGCTTTTGGTGTTAAAACCAATGTTTTATTTTGATAATATATATGTAATAAATATTAAATGTCAACATGGATAGCAAAACTTATTTTTATCGGAAAATATAAAGGATATTGAAAATATTATATTTAACTACCAAGTCATTGACTTAAGTGAAATTAAATCCAATTCTTTTAAGTAAAATTGAATTCAAATTTTGTAGAAGAGAAAACGTTGTCAAAAAAAGAACATGTTTAAAAGGAAAGAAAAAACCTTATTGAAACATGTTAGCTAATTCTCTAACTAAAATTAGTCAAATGATATTTTGTATCAATAGAATGATTATAAAAATCATATCTAAATTTTCTAAAAAAAAATGTGTAATTAGATAATTATTTTGAAAGCATTACCTATACATATAAATTAAGAAAGTTTGTCGATTTAATTAATAATATTAAATTTATTCATAATTTTTATTATTTTTTTAGAAATGACTTTAAAATTATTGAGACTCATCATCTCACTTTTTTAACTTAATTTTTCACCTAATTAATTAACGTGTACGGATTATTTTTTCAAGAACATTTAATAACTATAAGATATTAATATATATTCAATCTAAAAAACCTTATTTAATATTGGATGTAAACAACGAACTTTGAAGTTTGCTGACGTGCTTTTTAAATAGATTTTAAGTACATTATTTCTCGTAAGTTGTAAAGAACTGAAGATCAAACTTAATTATTTTTTTAATAGTGATATATGTAAAAAAGAATAAATTAATGAGACTTAAAATTTTGTAAAGTAACAATAAATTTGAAATAAAAATATTAAAATATCTATAGTTTTGGATCGGAAGTAATATTTAATCTGTAGACTAATGAAAATGTTGTTTTTAAAGAGTGAGAAAATATATGTTATATCTGTTTGTTTATTTATATCTTACAAATATATCATTTTATTTATATATCATTTCATAATGATTTAGCAAAAACTTATAAAATATTATTTGCATGATTTATTGTAATTTTTTTATATAAAAATGAAATGATGTTTTTCATAATTATTAATACAAATAAACAAATTCTTAAACTAAATTACCCTAGTCATTCAGTCACAATAATTTATTGAGATATGTACTCTTTGAATGTATGGACTTTTCCTACCATATATTGATACATAGTTTTCTCCCTCTAAAATTTTTCTATACAAACTGTTAAAAAAAAAACTACAAAAAAAAAGCTGTTGGGACACTTGTATTCATATATTATGTAACAAAAAAAAAAAAAAAGCAAATAAAAAGTGTTTGTTTGATAGTATTTACTTAACTATGATATCGAGGGTCAAATTTGTGACGTGAAGAAACTTTGCCAGTGAACTTCTACCACCATTTTCATTTATTTTTCTTCTTTAATTGCGTAATTAATTTAATATTTGATAAAATTATTAATGATTTTTTTTTTCTATAAGTATTTTCATTATTTTTTAAGAGTGTTTCTGAAATACTTTTAGTATAAAGACATGAATTATTTTTAAATAATTTTAAACTAGTTTAGACTCTTAGGATCAATGATTGAAGTTAAATCAAGTTGGTATTGTATAGCACCATGTATATAACACACAATATTTTTGACATTGTGATCGTAAAAACTAGAATTCTTGTCACTTTTGTCATCAGGGTACTTTCATCAAAATAAAACACGTGGGTATGAATTTCATGGTCTTTTTGTTGTCACCGCATGGGCCTTGTTCAATTCTTTGAAGATAAAAGGCTAAATATGGGCCGTGATAATGAAAAAGGTTTATGATGTATACACTTTTTTTTATTTTTTTAAAAATATTTTAAAATTTAAATAAAAATAAAATAAATAAATAAATAAAAAAGAACCCTGAAAGGAGGTGTTTTTAGTGCAATGTTATGGCATTGAATATGGATGATGGTGAAGGAAAGTGAGCAAGTTAAGTTTGGTTTTGGGAGAGGGACACTCCCTTATTCATTGATTCCGCATGCAAATACAAATACACATATTTCTCCTCTCAATCAAATAAAGCTCCCATTTTGGGAACACCCGCAAATGGGAGAAAAGGTTAACAAATACTTTGCACATCTTTAGAATTATTACATCAATATTTTGCTATAGCATTAGCTCGCTCAGGGTTTTGGGATCTATTTTTCGATAATGCATGTAAAAAAAAATGTAGAAAATGGTAAAAAGATTTGGGTCTGTCAGACAACCGTGAGACCATCTCAGACGGTAACTGTCCAAGAACGATCCTCTACAGCACTAGATGACACCCCTCGGAAGAGGGGCTCATTAAGCCGTTAATCACGCTCTGGTCCCACGGTCATGGTTCATCCACCAGACTTAGGTTCCTGTCTCCTTAGAACTCAAGGATACAGAGGCACGAGCCTATAGAACAGATCCTGTTCAAGTAAGGTCGTGGCCCAGTGTCTGATCCCCAAATATATAAACTGATGTATTTGAATAAACTCTTTCGATGTGGGACTATTATTATCTTAGTGTGTGGTAACCTATTGTGGCTTTTAATACATGATTGATACGCAAATTGATAAGAGGCAATTGTCTGGCGGTATTGGGTTGTGGGGTTCAGACTTTTTACATGATGAGTGCCATTGTCATTGTGCAAATTGCCAAGAGGCAATTGTCAGCCTCTCTAGGGTGGGGTTCAAAACTAGGTCAAACCTTGTGGGATGAAAAAAAAGTTTAAGAGGTTTAGTGGGATATAGTTGAACTTTGTGGAATGAAAATTAAGTTTATTATATGTATATGTCCCTCCAAAACTTGAAAATATTGAATTTCGGGATTGCTTTTCTTAGTTACTTAGGTTCCAGATTGCACTACTCAGAAAATGGAGATAGAATTTGAAGATGCAAATGTTTTAATGGAGCATTTTTGGTGTATCTTAAAACAAACTGCAATAAAGCAGCCTTTGCACAATGCATAAAACTAATCGTTAAGTTTGTTAGTATTGTCACACTATTGTCATATTTCTGTTGTCATACTAAATTCCATTGTTGCGTTTTCATTGTCATAACCAATGGCTATCCAGGATCCAAATTGTTTCCATGGTGCCTTTTATCTACAGTTCCCCTGGGTTAATCAGTGCATTTTATACTTTTTTGTTTAAACTTATCCAAATGATTTCATTTTATACGAGATGGATACCAGAATTTTGAGGCCAATTTTTTTTTTTTTTTTTTTTTGCATAATGTGAAACTACAGTACTGACTACTGAGTGCTCTTGATAATCTTAAAGGTGTCAACTCCAAGAATTCATCTGTCAAGAGTTAATGATAACTCTAACATATTGGTTGGAATTCTGTGCAAGAACTCTGCCATGTATGTTCAGATGCATCATATGACATTTTGACCAACACCCCCTTTACAAGATCGTAGGGATGTTGTTACAGAGAATGTTCTCAATTTGATAGCTCATGTGGCATGGCAGAAATTTATGTTGGCAGACTATAGATAATTATAGTTCTCTTCATTTTGCTTTAGTATTAGCTTTCAAAGTAATGGTATTTTAGTCTTTACAATAAGATCAATCTTCAATTTTAGGAAGGTAGAATTGTTATTTACTAGGTAGAATTGTTTTTTACTTCTTCCTTTCTTAAGTTAATAAGGAACTGAAGACCAACCAGAGCGTAAGATGTGAGAAATACAAATTCCATTTTAAAGTATATTTCATATTCTAAATCTAAATGAAACATTCAGGATGAATGTATTATGTATTAATTGGTTCATGCACCGGAATGTTGGACAAAATCTAATTATCGAGATTCTAAGAGTTTGTTCCACTTTTCAATCTCCTCCTTATCAAGTTTTCTGATTCCACCGAACCAACGAATTCTAGAACCTTGTTCCTCATACACGTTTCTACTCAACACTGATCTTCTCATTCTACTCCCTGGCGGATAATGCTTGAATTCCACTACCAACATGTCTGCAGCCGAGAAAAACATTGCAGTAATAAATATCATATTAGATCCCCTATAAAGAATTAAAATTTTTGTAAGTATATTAAAATTAATTAAGTTCAAGGTAACTTAAGTTGAAATTAAAAGGAAATGTAATCTCATAGTCATTTGTACCCATAAATAAGCATTTCTGAAATTTTTGGGGGTGAATCTTACCACTATATTGGCAATGGCAATGATTCACATCCTCGTCACATGTTTCCAAATGACCAATTACAGCATACCACCAATCTATATAGCTCATTCAAAGTAGAAGTCAAGAAATTAATTACAAAAATGATCAAAGTACTTCTAGATATAGAGTTATAATAAATAAATAAAAATGATGTTAAGTTAAAAATAACACATGCTTTTAATATTTAAATGAAAGATGAGTCAATTTAATTACTATAAGTGGTGCTCTGGCGACTTCTCATCTGAATCTCAATTTGATCTCCTGGTTTCAAATCATTCCTACAGTTAGACATATAAAACTCCCTTGTAGAAGTTTCAACCGGTGATAATCTCAACCTATCCCACGGAACATTTACTTCAATCATTCTCCATCCACCAGTTGGAGAGCTGAAAAATACAAAGCATATATGCCATAAACAGAACAACAACAACATATTAAGTTATCATATCATTGTATTGCGTTTATACTTTCCTTTATGTAAGAACCCAATTAAGCAGCGTGTTGAAGAACAATATAATTATTGACCTGTGCCCCAAATTAAACAAACTTCATACGAAACTTAGAATAATATTATTCTCAAGGGGTGAACTATATACCTTGCCCGGAAGGTGTCTGTTCTAGAGTCATAGCTGACAATGGCATCATAATAGAATAGTCTTGAAATCTACAACCAAAGTAAATCATGATATAACCAACAGTTAATGCGAGGTACCAAAGTTAGAAATGTATAGATAGATAGACACAGTAGCAATTAATCATTAATTAGTGTTACCTTACAAACTTGAACTAGAAACCAAAAGCGGCCACTTTCAAGACATATATACAAAGCCATTTTTGAACAACTTCTAAAAAAACTAATCAAGTCAACGAAATTTTTCAAATAAGAATGAAAGTGTAAGAAAGGCCAAACACCAGTGAAAGTGCCACATGAACCACTCTGATTCTGCTGTAACAAGAGGCTTTGTGTGTTTATTATCTTCGTTGTGTGCCACTGCCACTCTTGGTGAGCAACATCACTAAGAATATGACCCCATTTCTTATGGATTTGTTTCTCCCACAAAGCATCACTTCTGCTTCTAAGCCTCAAACTGGTACACACTTGTGCCACTCTGCACAAGTCCAGTGGTGAAAGGCACTCAAGGATGCAATCCAAGATCCACTCAGGCAAATCTAAGAGAGAAGAAGAAACTTTGCATTCTTTATGTTTCTCCAATTTTCTGTTCTTCTCAGATGACATTATGATTTGTGGAAACCTCGAAGATACCAAGATCGTTTGAAATGATTTTGAAGCTTCCACTAAACAAATCCAAAACTGGGAGAGATGATGTAATTTGAAGTTCTCTGATTGACGAAGAATGTTATCTTGCCTTAAGCATATATATGAAATTGGTTCCTTCGTCATTAAGTATCAACATGACTTATTAAATTGGCAAGTCAAATTATGTCCTTATCTAGATATTTTTTATTCCTATCTAGATTATTAATTAACACCTAAATTTATTCCGGTGCCCTCTTATTTGAAGGGGTTTTGGTGCCCCTCAGTACAAAAGTTGGGTTTTTAGGGGCAATAAAATAAATTGATAAATTGACCAAAGGCTATCAATTTACCTTATTGTCCCTAAAAACCCAACTTTTGTACTGAGGGGCACCAAAACCCCTTCAAATAAGAGGCACCGGAGCAATAGCCCTAAATTTAGTCCTTGTGTCAGGAAACTTTATTCAAAGATTAAAAAATAGTTTAGCGAAGATGTAATGAAATTACTGTAAATATCAAATCAATTAAACAAAATTATTTAATATTTAATTTTTAACATAACAAAAGAATTGGTGTAAAAAAATGACAAAAGAATATCCAAAATTAAATGATATTAAAAATAGCATGTGAATTAATGGTAGTTTACTGTAATTACTTAATTAGAAAGGATAAAATATAATTAAATTTAAGGAACATAAATTTTATTTTTGAAGTCTATGACTGGTCAGGAATACATACAGACACCTTGAATGCACCTATACTTGTCCTCGATGATTTCTATGTCATTTTTCATTGTTTTATTCATCCACATCATTCCGGTTATTGTCTCTTGGTTTGTTGATCTTCAGCAAAATGACGTGTACGTAAGAACATGCATGAAAAGTTAAATAATTAATCTTTTGGTTGGAGTAAACAAGTTTATCTTAATAATTATATAGGTAAAGGCTAGGTCCGAATTCTGCAAGGTAGCACCGGGTTATTTTTGTCTTTTGAGTATCTAGATTTTATATATAGTTATGATGTTGATATCTATTGTATGCTTTAGTTTAGAGAAAGATTACAAAATGTTGTTTGAAGATAAAACTTACGTTATTAGAGAAACAAATATACATTATAGAAGTGCTAAAGTTCATATGAAAGGTTAGAATTTTTCTTTAGATTTAATGAAGAAGGAATCGTTATTAAAAGAAGATAAAAATGAGAGATCATAATTAGATAAATGGTATGTTTGGTTCAAAGGGAAGAGAGAGAAAAAAGAGAAAAAAGGTTAGAAATTTTATTTTATTGAGAGAAAGAGAGGAGAGAGATTTTGAAAATTAAATTAAAAAAAAAGGATATTATACCAAAAATATTTTAAAAATCTCTCTTTCTCCCCCGAATCACCCAATATTAAAGAGAAGCTAAAGTTAGATGAAGAGAAATTTTGTTGCCCTTCAGTATCCTGCCCTACCCTCTTAAAAACTAAATCAAACAAGAAAGTTTATGAGAACTACTCCCTTCTCCTCTGCTTTCTTCAAACCAAATACTGTATTTATTTTTCTAGAAAAGACAAAGACTTGGGACCAATTCTGTTGCTGTCGTGAAGGAAACACCTTGGAATGAAGATTGAAGAATTGAACATCACATGCATTGCATTCGCAATAGTTAGATCAATTCTGTCAGAAAATGGGCTATGAATACATGAGTTAGAAATATGCCACGAGGTACATATAGTCCCACATTGGAAGTACCACACAAAATGCAAGCGTTTATATTAGTGAATGTGAGTATCATCGTTTTGGCCTTACTTGAACCGGATCTGTATTATAGGATTATTTAAGGCTGTAGATGTCGCTCTCGAACATGTATTATCTGAGATTGTTTTAGGGGGTTGTCTGATAGACTCAATATTTACTTTTAACTTTTCTTTATGCCATTCTACATTTGCACATTAATTATTAAAAAAAAAAAAAACTCAAAAGAAAGAAAGATTGAATTCTTTTTTTTTATCCAAAATAAAAAATCAATAAATTATCCCCAAAAAAGGCCCTAAAAGTAATCATTTTATCATTTTTATCCATAGGAGTAATATTTTACTTTAAAAACTCAAAATGGTATTAAAGTAAAATGGGAGTGGATATACTTTAAAAATTCTCAATTTTAAAATAATTGGAGTGACCAGTTAAAAAAAACACACCATTAAATTATGAGTGATTATGATCTTAATACCTTGTATACTATATATCAGTGTTTTAAAACCCGGACCGACCCGGCCGGTCGGACCGGTTGGACCGGGAATCGGGGGTCTCGTCGGTCCGAATCTGAAGTTGGATCGGTTATGCAGTCGACCCGTTTCAAACCGGATTGAACCGGTCAATTTTCCGGTTCAACCGGTGAACCGGTGGGTCAAACCGGTTCAACTACTTTTTTTTTATAATTTTTTTAAAAAAAAATTTAAGGGACCATAAATCACAAAAATAATAATAAAAATTGAATCTCTTAATGAAAAAGCAAGGAGTCTTATTAAATATAACAATGACTACTTGTTCTAATATATTTGTTTGCAATATATACAACTTAAATAACTTTTATAGTATATTATTAATTTTAAATTATATATTTAATAATGCAATATCTATGTAAATATTACATATATTATTTTGTGATATTAATTGCAAGCATATTATATATGTACATATTATTTATATTTTTAATTTGTATTAATATACCGTTTAATATGTAATTTTTTTATGTATTTTTTTACAAAATAAAAATAAAAATAATTTTAAATAAGAAAAATTTAAATTTAAAATAAGATATGAATTTATTAAAATTTATAAGTATAAATATATTTAATATAAATATTTTTTATTAAAAATAAATAAAAATTGAGTCATGCGGTTTAACCAGTGACTCACCGGTTCAACCTTTGATCCACTGACCCAATACATTAACCGGTTCAATGACCGGTCCGGTTTTTAAAACTATGCTATATATACTTTTAATAGTAATATTAGATTATAGTAACAGTTTTACTCAATGAAACTCACCGTTCATTAACTCTTGAACACTCAACTTTAACTTGTTTATTTTCCCCTTTTATTTTTCCCAAATTGTTTTAGGAAGACAAATAGATAGATCACTGCTGGGAAAGATTCTGGGTTTGTTAAAGGATTGAAAATATGTTTGGAACGTGGGTTGGCTTGTGGAAACAGAAGTCCAGTTTTTGAGACTCTAGTTTGCTTTTTGTGATTTTGTTCTTTTTTATTTTTTCTTTATACATATTACATACCCAAAAAAAAAATTAAATCACTGCTTTCATATTCACACTGATCACAGAGGGGATTCATTCGAAACAGACATTTTCTTAACAATTAAATAAATATTAGTAAATTTTGTTAAGTATCAATAATTTAATAAAAACAACAAATAAGATAACCATTTCCATAGTTAATGTTCTTGAACCCAAAAGCTGAATTTTCTTGCGAATTCAAATTATCATGAACCAATGGTTTTCATGAGTTTTCTTATCTCCGCTCTCATTTAGCATAAATATTTGGGTAAAAAAATTTCTGAATTAATTTAATTTTGTAAAAACTCTCTTGTAGGATTTAATTTAACTAGAATAGTTAAAATGGATCTTGATCCAAATCCTTGTAGGCCAAAACTAAAAAGAGTTAGACTAATTTCATGGGTAGTAAACTTAAGTGAATTAAGTTAAAAATATTTTGGCCAAGATCTAGATAAAAAAAAATGCTTTGTGTGAGGTTGTTAAGTCTCAATTATACTTCTTTTTGGACAAGACTTATTGAACAATTCCACTCATCCTTTGCACCATTGGAACATAATTGTTCTCTTTTTGATTCATTTTGTGTGCAGATATAGTTAACTCGTAATTTAGCTAACAATACCTTAATACACCTCATTTTTGTGCAGGTATTGAGCTAGAGACTTGAGGATTGAAGACCCTTAGGATTGGAAATCTAAGGAGTAGGGAGCAGAGCAGAGTGGCTGCGCCGGGTGCAACATTACCCGCACCGGGCTTGAGAAGAACAGAGTGCCTCGTCTTTGCAAGCAATATGCGCGCCGGGCGCAAAAGGAATTGTGTCGGGCGTGTTCTGAGGCAGAGAATACTTGACCTCACTGGAAGGCCCTGCGCCGGGCGCAACGATTTATACGCCGGGCGCGTAAACCCTAATCTGACTCCCCATGCTCGTATTTGAAGGCATTTTCGGGGACTTTTCTCCCCATTCACGCAGGAGCGCCTCCTTGGAGCTGTAGAAGGGATTCTCAAAGCTTGGGACCGTTCGTGTGTGGATCTTTCCTTCGGTTCTTCATTTCCTCTTCCATCTCTATTTTGTATTTACCCTCATTGTTGAGTGGTTCTATCCATTTTTGTGAGGTTAGATGTAACCAACGTACTCTATTGTAATCCTTACGTTTTTAATGATATATATATATGTATTGTTTCATTCTTTGTTGTGTACGTTTCTAAGCTTAATGTTTGCTTTGGATTGATCACCCTTTGCATGATTTAAGGTTCCATTGAGTATTGAAAAATACCATTGAAACTAGTTCTGGAACATATGCCTAGTGGAGATTGTATCTAGGGATAGAGCTTGACCCATTAGTAGTCTTAAACCCTAATCTGTAATGCGGGTGTAGGTATTGGGTACTTAAGGGATTGATATTCAATATCCGCACCTAAGCTCTTTCTCTAAGGGATTAAGTTTGAGTAAACTTATGGGTTGACTGAGCAATGTATATAACAAGAGATTAAGGATTCATTAGTGTAACGTTTGGTGAAGTCTGACCCCCACAACCTCACAATACTATTATACCATTTCTTACCCTTATCCACTCACAAACAAATATTTTTATAGCTTTCATTCCAATAGTCATAACTTTTGATTCAACTTGCATGACAAACTATGAATTTGGAATCATTCTTTAGTCACGAATAGTCAATAAATGCTTATGTTACCTTCTAATCCCTGTGGATACGATAATTTTACTACTTGAACGGCCGGTATACTTGCCGTGTTTGAGACCGTTGATATAATTAAACTGATTTACAATTATAACAAAAGTGTTTCAACGGAATTCTCAACAGAGGTCAAGTTGAAGATACAATGACCTGAGGTTGAAATGAAAATGTTTTTTTTATCGAGGTTGAGCTTAAAATAATTTGATTAAGGTTGAGTTGAAATTACTTTAGTTAAGGTTGAGGTGAAAATATTTTGGTCGAAATCGAGTTAAAATTATTCTGATTGAGACCAAATTAAAGATACTCTAATTGAATCTAAGTTGAACTTACTTTAATCAAGTCAAAGATAAAAATACTTTAGTTGAAATTAAGTTGAAATTAAGTTGAAATTACTCTAATCCAAACTAAAGTGAAAATATTCTGGTTGATATACATAGTTAAAATTACTTTGGTGGAAGTTAAGGTGAAAATACTTTGGTTAAAGTCAAAATAAAAATACTTTAATTAATGTTAAGCTAAAGTTAATTTGAAGTTATTTTGATCAAGGTTAAGTTAGGATACTTCTCTTGAGGTTAAGTTGAAATTACCTTGATTAAGAGTATGGTAAAAATACTTTGGTCAATGCAAAATTAAAGATACTTTGATTAAATTCGAGATAAAATTAATTTTCTTAAAATTGAATTAAAGATACTTTATCAAAAATTAAACTATAAATATTTTAAACAAGGCTAGAATACTTTAGTTGAGACCTAGTTGAAAATATGTTAGTCAATATTGAGTTGAAGGTACTTAAACCTAAATTGAAATTATTTTGATTGAGATCAAAGTTTTTTTTTTTTGCCTGTGAATAATTAAAAAAAGAAAAAAATTTAAAATAGACATAATTTGTAGACTAATTCCTTTAAACTTGACCCAAGCTCTTTATTAAATGAGATGTGCGGGTTGGGGCTTTTAAACTCCTTATTAGGTCAACAAGAAAAAAATAGGGCAATTATAGCTGGCCAAGTGAACTTAGGGCTAAAATAACATCTCAAAATTTTACCTTCTTCGTATCTTATTGTATTTTTGCATAAGATAGGAAGAAAGTTGACTTTAACTAATCAAATAAAAAAGAGAAAATTTTAATTTTTAGTCCGATTCAGAACAATAAATTAAATAAGAAGCAAATTTCACACATGATTAACACTTGATTCTAATATTGTCCAGTCTAATGAAAACCTTTTAGGTCTAAAATAAGCCGACATATTCAAATAAATATATTTTTAGTATGATTAATATATTAAGTTTGTATAATATGTTTAAATCATACATTCATTTTTTTTTAAATGTTAAGCGTGTTGATCTAGAGTAACACTTTATAAGTTTATTAAATTATTACATTTATGTCTTATTTATCGATATATCATATTGCAAAATAATATCCTGATTTTGAATATTAGAAGAAAAGACAAATGAATTGAAAAAGGTAGATATTGTTATTTAATTTCGTTTATTTTATTTAAAAATAACTTTTATTTATTAAAATTTGATATAAAAATAAAATGAATCATTAAAAATATAAATATCAATTAAATAAAAAAAACATTTTTTTATCATATCATTAAATAAATAAAGTAAAATTAGTTTAGATTTACTTATATTAAACAACAACTTATATATGGTTTTGTTTATTTATTTTTACATATATTTGAGATAAACATAATATATGATATAAAAAATTTGTATCATGTATTGTTTATATTTAGATATTAAATATTAAATCCTAATCTCTAAACCTTAAATAAGTTATCATAAATGTCAAATTAGACAATAAAAAAATGTTTATATCATATGAATAAGTTAAAGTAAATTATGTTATTTTTTTAAGAGATGAGAGTATTACCTTATTTTCATCTCTTATGTTAAATATATAATTTAATTTAATTAATTTAATATTGTTAATATAAATTACCCTCTCATCCTTAAAGAAAAGTAAGTATTACATTATTCATCCTTCATATATTAAAATATCAAATAAATTATATTTTTATCTCTTAGTAATAGACACACACACACAAAATGAGTTTAATATTTGTCTTTGATTTTATTATACTCACATATATATATATATATATATATATATATATATATATATATTTTTTTTTTTTATAATTATGTTATTGATA